AAGTGTACAGTTTCAAAGACGCTTGCGGCTGGCTCAGCTATTTATACCAAACCAAAAAGGAACCTACGTAACTCTGGCGACTGACGTCCAACCAATAGCAATCTTTTGCTTCTAATGCAATTTTTAGCTCGGCAAAAGGGAAACCGCTATGTCAGCGAAATCCGCTACTATCGTAGCACAAACAATACCTACTGAATCACCGATATCCATTCGAAATATTAGCTATAACTCTTTACACTGACCGTCCGTGTTTTAAGTAATAGGTGCAGGTTCACTTACAGTCTTAGTGAAAGATAAGTTATGAAATTGATTCTTGTTTAAATGTAAAACCCAAGCCAAACTCGAACAAAGCTATATATGTGAATTGATTTTATCCACACTGCAATTATCACGTTAATTATACAAACTTAGAAGATGTATAAGAACCCGACTTGAACCAAGAGGGAGATTGAACCAGCGCGGCTCTCGAACCGTCATCAGTTTAACCATTATACCTTGCATAAAAATGAGTTGGCGAGCCTCATTTCATTTTATTCCAACTTTTGTGGGTTTTAGTGGGTGTTAGTTATTTTATTTGGGGTTTCAAGCGGTCCGCTCGCGAGCACTTTTCGGAGCGGCCGCTTGGTGCTCGATACTCGAACGTTTACTTAAAGTGCTCGGCGCTCGAGCACTTTTTTTTGTCCACGAGCGGTTTTTCCACTCATCAGCGTTTTTTTCGCTCTTTTTTCTCTCGCGAGCTCTTTTTCTGCTCGCGAGTGCTTTTTTCGCTCGCGAGTTCTTTTTCTGCTCGCCAGTGCTTTTTTCGCTCACGAGCGTTTTTTCCGCTCCCGACCCCTTTTTCTGCTCCTGAGCGTTCTTTTTCCCTCGTGAGCGCTTTTAACCGCCCTCAAGCGCGGAAGGATTAAGCGCCGCTCACGAGCATTTTCCCTGAGTGCTCGCGATAAACTGCTCGAGCACTTTTAGGAGTGCTTGGCACCCGCAAGCGGTTTCGCTTTGCAAAATAACTCGATGCTCGCGAGCATTTTTGAGAAAATTAGAGCGCTCGTCGCTCGAGCGGTATTTTAGAACGCTCGACCCAGCTCTACGTTCCCTTTATTTTTAACCGAACAGACTTGTTGTTATTGCTTAAAAGAGAGCTGTACAAAATGGTATTTCGAAGAAGAATTTAGTTACGATAAGAGAAGTATCAATTTGAAACAGTGAGCCTTTTTAAAGTAGCCGATATCGACATCTGTACTTAACATTTATAATGGAAAGAAAGTCATGGAAGGTATTGATAACAAAAGCACAAGAGCATACTCAGGTGACTGTATGAGTTACATTGCAGGTACTACGTCAAGTCTCGGGGCTGGGGAGTTTGGACAAGCGGTGACATTAGGGAGAATTTTTAATTTGTTCGTTTTCTAATAAACTCCTGTTTTATAACGATTCAAAACCATTACATTGGCGTCAGGTGTCGGGTATAATTAGAAACAAAAATAATGAGAAAATGAATGGAACTGATGGTTGCCGAACTTCGTGTTCAACTTGAGGAAGGGTCACTTAATACGACAGGTGCGCAAAGTGTTCTCCAAAAACGACTTGACGCTGTGCTGATTGAGAAAGGGATCAATCCCTCGGAATATTCCTTTGAATTTGAAAATCTCGAATAATTTCTAGAAAAATGGAAGAGAATTATAGAAGGATCAAGAAAAAAATTACCAGAGAAATGGAAGAAAGTTGTGGATGTTCGAATTCATGAAACTTCCGGAATGTTTTTAGAGAGGAATTTTTCTAGAAAATTCAAGAAATATAAACCCGAGCAGTAAACATAGTATCGACGCAATCAGTCACGTGAGCTCTCACAAATGGTACAACTTGAAGAAGCTACGATTGACCATCACAGATCAAAACATAATCCCAAACCGCCGATTTACGATCAAGCTGTCAAGGCTATGCTGACAAAAATACAACTCCGTTGTTGGAATTGCGGAGAAATTGGGCATTTGCAGGATCGATGTCGAAAACCTCGATATTGAAAAAAAATGGCCGACTCCTCCGCTCACATCCTGAAATTCGTCAAAGTATTTTATGAAAGTCAAAAATTCTTAATAGGTAACAGGAATGGACACAACCGAATAATATCGTTATCATCCACTGAGACACTTATTTAACGAAAAAATTTGAAATTGGTCAATTCCAGTTTTTTTTCTAAACTTCGTCTAGATTATTTTCCTAAAATCCACACCATTTAACCTGAATGGAAAAAAACTCTTTCGAACGATATACGAAACTCGTTTTCTACTTTGAGTCGCGAAACACAAAAACCTAAACGAAAAAGAAGCGTAGCCCTACTTTTAAGGGATCGTAATAAAACACAACCGAAGAAAAAGTGGATGAACTCTATCGTAAAATATGTGTATAATATAAACGGTTCGAATATACGGTGTATTTTCCAATTTTTCACTGATGCGATTGAGCTCAGTGAGGTGTTTAGATTTGGGAAGCACCACTAAAAATACGCGATTATAAAATATGAGGGAGAACAAATTTTCTTTGAACGAAATGCTTTCCGTTTATGTGCTTCCAATATTTTTTTGCTGCTATATCTTTATAGACTTGTGAGACGACACGAAAAGTTTTCATATAAATCAATATTATTGTAACCTTTTAAAAAGTTTTATAGTAGACTGATACTTTCAAGTGAAACGAATAAACGTCCCCATCTGCAATTTTAATTGAGGTTCAGTTAAAACAAGTTAAAAAGTAATCGTAAACGATTTACATAAAGCGCATTTCCACTTGCATTCATTTCCCATTTGTAAGATGCAACTTCTGTTAAAATCGTAAAAATCCGGCCACAAATATGAAAGATAGCGTTGTACATGGGCAATCCATTTTTGACGTGCTACTTCAATTTCAGTTTATGAGAAGAATTTCATTTCAATGCTTTTCTAAATAAGAAAGTTGGAACTGCGCATGCGCAAACCTAAAATTTTGAAACTAATGTTAGATTTTCCTTTGTTCCAAGCGCCAAAGTATCAAATTTCACTTAAATGCTTCCATAGATAAAAAAGTTGGCACTGCACATGCGCAAAATAAAATTTTGAAACTGGCGCTAGATTTTCCTTTATTCCAAGTGCCTATGTATCAATTTCATTTCAAATTCTTCCATAAATATAAAAGTTGGCACTGCGCATGCGCAAAATAAAATTTTAAACTGGCGCTAGATTTTCCTTTATCCCAAGTGCCTATGTATCAAATTTCGTTTAAATTCTTCCATAAATAAAAAAGTTGGCACTGCGCATGCGCAAAACCAAATTTTGAAATTGGCGTTTGATTTTCCTTTATTCGAAGTGCTTATGTATCAAATTTCGTTTAAATTCTTCCATAAATAAAAAAGTTGGCACTGCGCATGCGCAAAACCAAATTTTGAAATTGGCGTTTGATTTTCCTTTATCCCAAGTGCCTATGTATCAAATTTCGTTTAAATTCTTCCATAAATAAAAAAGTTGGCACTGCGCATGCGCAAAACCAAATTTTGAAATTGGCGTTTGATTTTCCTTTATCCCAAGTGCCTATGTATCAAATTTCGTTTAAATTCTTCCATAAATAAAAAAGTTGGCACTGCGCATGCGCAAAACCAAATTTTGAAATTGGCGTTTGATTTTCCTTTATCCCAAGTGCCTATGTATCAAATTTCGTTTAAATTCTTCCATAAATAAAAAAGTTGGCACTGCGCATGCGCAAACCAAATTTTGAAATTGACGTTTGATTTTCCTTTATTCCAAGTGCCTATGTATCAAATTTCATTCAAATACTTTTATAAGTAAAAAAGTTTGCAATTCGGGTTATAAATGGTCGAGATGCGAAAAGGGCACTGTGAATTTTGAATCGATTCGATTCAACTTTTGGCATTGCGTATTATATGGCTAAAGCTATGCCCATATTGAATTTCATGCAATTCAGTTCATAACTAACGGAGATGTAAAAGCGATCGAACATTTCTAAACAAAGTTATCGTTCACACGGACAGATAGATGGACAGACAGACAAAGGAACAGACGGAGAGACCAACCGGCAGGCGACAGATAGCAATGCAAAATTATAAACGATCTCTAGGATCGTTAATAAAACGGCAAAAGTGTAAAATTATGGAACATGTAAAAACGGTTTTTTGTTTTTTTTACAATAACTTTTTTTGTAAACGGTACAGAAAAAATTCCTTCCTTGGTACAAGACTCGACACCATAACGAACCAAATAGCGAAAAAAGTAGAACAATAGCTCTTAAGATAAAAAACTAGTAGCGTCGCA